CTAACAGTAGATAATGTTTTGGTAAAAATGACCGAATAAATAGGTTGAAATATTCAACCATGGTAAAATTTACATCAGCCACATGTTTTCAGTGATTCATTCGTTTGATGAAGAAATATTTATCTCTTGTTCTTTTTAACATTCCATTTTCGTTTGCCATCATTGCATACTACAAAATGTACTTAGCGTTGTTCGAGTGAAAACAAAATACATAAATTTATATATAGAAACGAATTTATTCTGTTCTCTATTTGTTTTCAAAGATAAAAGACATGCCCATAACAGACATTATTCTTTTTTTTCTCGCTTTTTTCTTCATTGTGCTCTTTCGTTATTCTAAAGAACTAAGTGAATAAGCAAGATATATTATACGATAATGATGTTATTACTAATACAGAAAAACACAAGAAGAAAACGAACCAAAACAAGAGAGAGAGAGGAGAAGAGAACATGAGAAAAATTGAAAATAATAAAATGACAGTGCGTCGAGTCGACTTTGCGTAAATATTCTTCATATATTTCGTATAGGAAAAAATCAAACAGAACGAAGAGGAACGAGAAAGGTAAAGAAACGTAGAGAAAATTTATCGAAGCGTATCGATTAATATTTTCATCTTGCTGAATTTATTTTTTATTTCACTGTTGTGTCTAAGGGTTAGATATATACGTATATAATTCAAAGGCAATCGTTTATTTGCATTATAGAAAAAAAATAATGACAGAAAAAAAACTTATACGACGTCCAAGGGATGCTATTCGAAGAGATATTTCATCATATAATGAAGTACATCAAGATATCGATACACGAAAAGCTCAATATTCGACGCTAGTAACGAAATATTATAGTTTAACAACAGATGTTTATGAATCAACTTGGGGTAATAGTTTTCATTGTGCTAATCGATTTCGTGGTGAAACATTCGCAGAATCAATGCAACGACATGAATCTTATTTAGCATTAAGAATGCAACTTAAACTAGGAGATAAAGTACTTGACATCGGTTGTGGAGTTGGAGGGCCCTTAAGACGCATTGCATACTTAACTGGAGCACATATCACCGGTATAACAATTAGTCCATATCAAGTTCAAAGAGCTACAGAAATCGGTGAGAATTCATTGTATTTATTTTTTGAAACAAATCTCGAATATGAATTAAAATCTCATTCCAGGTGTACCGCCCAATTGTGAATTTATTCAGGGTGATTTCATGAATTTACCATTTGAAGACAATAGTTTTGATCATGTTTATGCTATAGAATCTGTATGTCATGCACCAGACAAAGTATATTATTATATTTTTTCCTTAAAAAAAAGAAATACTTTTTCCTATAATGATTTAGTCTAAATGTTTTGCTGAAGTTTTTCGTGTACTTAAACCAGGTGGCTCATTTGTTGGTTATGATGCCTGTTTAACTGATAAATATGATAATCAAAATCCTGAACATGTTGAAATAATACGTACGATGGAAGCAACTCTTGCCTTACCTGAACTAAAATTAACCCGTGAATTAGTTTCGGATCTTGAATCAGTTGGTTTTACTGTTGAAGAAAATCGAATAATACCCGAAGCTGATATTCCTAGTTATCAACCATTAGATGGTGGTGATTCATTTTTCTCGTTCAATCTTCATCGCACAGGTCCTCTTGCTCGACGATTAGGACATTGTTTACTTTGGCTTACAGAGAAAATTCGAATAGCTCCCAAAGGCAGTACAGCATTAAGCAATGTGTGGCAAAAATCAGTTAAAAGTTTCTTACGTTCTCGTAAACTTGATATATTTACATCTCTATTCTTTTTTCTTGCTCGAAAACCTTAATTATAAAAAAAGAGCTTATCAGCGTGCTCTCTTTGGAGCTAAAAAGTGAAACTCACATTTTTTCTTCAACTTCATTATACTAACACAAGATATGTACAGTGCAAAATCTCTCACAGATGAGAGTTGCTTTCTCAAGATGATCGATCGCAGAGAAACAATCTGTCTTATTATTTCTATATTTCAAACAGAAGATTTTTTTTCTTTTAACTTCTTTGTTGGCACTCTATGTCTTATTTATGTTTTCTTTCTTTGTTTCATCATTTTTCCTAATTTACTATTATTATTATTATTATTATTATTCTAGCTGCTAGTCTGATTGATAAATAAATCTATTATACACACATTTTACATCTACAGCTGGTCTCAACATACGGCCAGATATGTCTTATTGGAGAGGAGTTATGGTGAAAATATGTTTGTATTAAATTAATGAAAAATAGGAACATTTTGTTTACTATGATTCTCGTGGTTTTGGGTGTAGGTGTGGGTGTGTATAGCTACCACAATACCGTAGGTATTTCGAATTTTGCTGAAAATAAATTCTTATGACGTGGCACAAGTGCAGGTGTGTAAGATTTAAGGAAATGTCAGTGAACACATGTGGAAAATTGTATGATTTTATTTAAGTATGGATGCCTCGTGGGATTAGCGTGTGTTGTCGTTAGGGGTGTGTGAAATAACGTAGACTGAATGTAGTTTGGTTTCTATTGCTCCAGTTGTTGTTGAGAGCTGAAATTTAGGATTAGAAATAATGGGATTTGTGTCTTGGTTTTATGATTAAAATAGTTGTATTGTTTCAGATTATTGCTTTCGTTAAATGTTCGGTTGAAGAGTCGATCGAGATTATCGTTTTGATTTTCTCGTGAATGGGTGGTAAATGTTGAGTTGGACAAATATGGATGCATCTGAAATAAACACAAATGATTGAGGAAAACGGTAATGTTCATATAAAAAGGAAAATAGAAGTGGGTAGACCATCGCAATGTTTGGTGATGTATATTCGTAAGAGAAATGCCTAATAGAAGAACACAATATAGTTTCAAAAGGAATTATATGTAGTAGTAGATATTCATGAATAAATCAATGATAATAACAACTTTAAGGCAGTTTGATTAGAATGATGATTAGCTGTTTCAAGATTGAATTAATATAAAAACTATAGGGCAACACAAATCACACAGAGAGATTGATATTTAATTGTCTATGTTATTTTGATGTTCTTGTTTTTTGTCAAAATATTCGTTGGGACCTATATTTAAGAAAGAGAAAATACAAAGATCGAATTATTTTGGGGAAATGACTCTTAATCAGTAGTTACCCATTTGATAAATTACGACTCGTTGTTGCCAAAATATAGCTTCACATTGATCTTCATATATGATTGATTGTCGTCCCAATACTCCTTCTGGTTGACCTGGATTCAGAAGAATGATTGTTGGTTGTGTACAGTTAATCTCTAATACTATTTCAGTTTCACCAGTTGTTTAAATCATTTTTGACACATATTATGTTCACGTCAAGTTAAAATCAAAAATAGAAAGAATGAAAGAGACATGTGTTACATACGTTCAAGAGCCCATTCTGTGTTAATATATGTTTTTTATTTGGATATCCTTTTTCTTCGAATTGATCCCAACCAATATTATCGAAAATAGAATAACGTGCAAAATTTTTTCAAAGATCTAATCGCCATTTTCCATTGAAATAATTATAATAACCAGGTAACGATTTAGCAAACGATCTTTTTCCAATACCCGGTGGTCCGATTAATATTTCAATAAAAAAAATAGAGATGAATATGGATGAAAAAATATTGGGTTATTTATAAGATTTTTGTTTCCTGATAGTTATACGTATATAATGCTGGTGTACAATCAGAAAATGATTCAGGCCATATATATTCTTTGGAAATTATTATATCCATTCGATTCATTCTATCTTCTTGTTCTCGTAAATAGATATGTCTGAATGTATATAAATAACTCAGAAAAACTGACTAATCAAAGAAATGATATAATGTATTTGAATGATATGAACTTTTCATGATTAATTAAGAATTCTGTTGGCATTGCATGTTGCATAAAATCCATTGCTGCATTAACATTTGTTCGTGCTAATTGCAATGCCTGTATAGTAATGAAATCTGATGGTGCTTGTTGAATAGGATGCAAGTTATTATTGTTTGCCATTCTTGGATACGTATTGATGAGTAATTATGAATAAGGTACACTATCTACAATAGAGAAAAACAATAGATGAATGTAAAATATCACATACAAGTACATGAATAAATGTGAAATAATGATAACACAAAGATATATGAGAAGGAAAAAATATAAAATAGAAAACAAAAAACTACTACTACAATAGTAATAAAGTTATATTATTATATGACGGGCTGTTTGTTAGAAAAAAGTTCGTATGTTTTAGTTTGTAATATGAGGAACTGAAAATCGAATAGTTCTTTATGAGCCTGTAGCCTTTTGGAAGAGTTGTTGGTCGGCAGCTGGAGTTTGTGAATGGTTTAACAGGATAAGTAATTTTTGTACAATATCATATTCGCTGCGTTTTATGATGTTTTCTTCACGGTTCACTATGAACTGCATTGTTTTGTCGAAGATTGACGTGTCTTTGTAGTTGTATCTTCTATGAAGCAGTTTGGTTTTTTCTTCGAAAGCTTTTTATGCATATGTTTGTGCCATTTCTTCGGCTCTGGCTAGCGTTTGACTAGCTAGATCTTGGATTGGAATATGTTCTGGTTGAAATTCTAATTGCATAAGTGTATGGTTTATGTTCGGTAATTGTAGATTCGATATGGTACTCGATGTTTGTAGAGTTTGGTTTGCCAAATATTGTTTAAACATCGCGATTTCGTACGTGATGGCTTGCTCGTCGTGTATGGCTTTTCATATTTTTTTGGCTGAGGAGATCTAGGAATATCAAGGAATAGATTAAGTATTTGTGAATGATACATTTACTAACCTCGGTTTGCTTTGGCTTCAGTTGATAAAACCGTTGCATTAATTGATGTTCTTTAGCATCGAATTGAAGTAGTGTTCTTTGTCTTTCAAGTTCAATACGTAATAGATTTTGATCCTTATGAATAAGACTATTGGTAATATTCATTATTTTTGTCATATCGAAAAAGGCAGGTATAGGTTTCACATATTCATTCATATCATTTATATTGTATTTTCAATAGTCATTTTTTTCGATACACATCCATTTCTAATACCTTCGGTCATATCGAGATGATAATAGTAAGACCATTGTTCATTTTGTAATTTGGAATAATTTAATATATTGACGAGTTGCGTAAGTTGATGAATAAATAAGAATATGTCTTTCTTATTCAATAATTCAGTTAATGTATCTTTATTAATATCTTCTGATGCGAATGTTAATAATATTTCTTTAAATTTGATGTTAGATATTGTCAAATAATCAGTTAACAATAGTGTTGGATCGGTATTTGTCGTAATATCCAAAGGATTTGATTTCTTTTTCACTGACGACTGTTGTGATACAGATAAAATTTTAAATTGTGCACTTGATAAAGTATGTGACAATTGAAACGGATTATTGTTGAGTACTTTTTTCGTTTGCATATGTAATCTACGATGTTTCTTTTTGAAATGTTGTGCTTTTCGAATAGGTTGACTTTGATTAAATTTCTTTTTCTTTGTATGTTGGGTGTAGGGGTGGGAAGTTACCGTTCCCAGACCGTTCCCTGGGAACGGTAACGGTAACGGTTTCAAGGGAAAAAGTTACCAGTTACCGGGGAACGGGTAGGGGTGGCCTATTTACATTTACGCCAATTTATTAAATTCGAAAATAAATTTTTGAAAATTTAAATTTCAAATAAATGTAGATTTTTGCTATAACAAAATTTATACTTAAAATAAGCTTTAATTTTCTGAACTAAGATTAAAATGAAATGTAAATTTTTGTTATACCAAAAATTTATAATTAAAATAAATTAAAATTTTCGAAATTTACATTTAAAATAAATGTAAATTTTTGTTATACCAAAAATTTATTTTTAAAATAAATTTAAATTTTCGAAATTTACATTTAAAGTAAATTTAAATTTTCGGAATTTACATTTAAAATAAATATAAATTAAATTGAAAAATTTTATTTATTATATTGTTTCTTGTTACGGTTCAAGAGGCATGGTCTCAGCAGCTTATATTTCAAAAATAATTTTGTTCAGTAATTCTTTGTTCCAGTGTTTGAAAATTATAACTTAGCCTTTAGGCATTAGGGGTGACCTTTTCACATTTACGTCAATTTACTAAATCCGAAAATAAACTTTGAAAAATTTCAAATAAATGTAAATTTTTGCTATAACAAAATTTACACTTAAATTAAGCTTAAATTTTCTGAATTAAGTTGAAAAAGAAATGTAAATTTTTGTTATACCAAAAATTAATAATTAAAATAAATTAAAACTTTCTAAATTTCCACTTAAATAAATTAAAACTCAATTAGAGTTTTCTGTTTTGTCTCTTGGAATAAAAGCAACATTTCATATTAAATGTATGCTACACCAAGCATATGTCTATGGATATTTTAGTATTATATGTAAATAATAGGAATACAGCATTTCTTCTTTTTTTAAAATCTTTTACTGAGGATGATCTGATTATAGAGTGTAACATAAGTTGCTTTCTTATTATTCACCTTGTTTCATTTGAACTGATTTATTTCGACAAAACATGATACAAAACAAACGTACAAAACTACATGATTGAAAACATGTTTTACTTGTCTATAGTTCAATTCGAATTTACATATCATATATCATAATCACGTAGTAGCATCGAAAAACGTAAAGTAGATGATGATAGAGTTGAACGGTTTTTTCTTTGAACATAACCAGCTACTGAAAATGCACTCTCACTGGCTACTGAAGTAATGGGCATCATACAATAAATTCGAACTAAATTGGCTAATTGTGGTAGATTTTGTTGGTTTGTTTTCCAAAAATGTTCGAATTCTGTGTCCTTATCGATCGATGATATATAGTATCCGATTTCTTGTTGGATTGTAAACGAATAGGGTGGGGTGTGGGTGTGGGTGTGGATGGGTGCGGGTGTGGGTGGGTGTGGGTGTGAGGTGCGGATGTGAGTGTGGCTGGGTCTTCTGTCCTCTCACACCCACACCCACACCCTTGTAAATAATATTATTCCAGGTGGGTACCGCTATAATTTCAAATAGAAGACATAATGAAAGGACGAGGGCGGATAAGGCCATTTTTTTGCCCCCAACGAAATTAACTTCTTTTTATCGATTTGAAGTAAGACATGGGTCCTAATGATATTCTACAGGTCTTTTTTTGTATAGCTCACCAAAAGGTTTTTGGGACCTGTGGTCCCCCCCCCCCACAGGGATCTCTGGAAAACTTTTTATTTTTGATTCTGATGAATTACGTATCTATTGGTATAATCAAGTGTGCTGATTACGAATATCAACATATTAAGTGCTGAGAGCTTTTCATTAAATAAAAACTCAGCCCTTTTACAGATACTCATTTGACTATATACAGAAAATGTTTTGGCATTATACCTCCTTTAATCGTTACTCTAACCTCTTAAAAAAATGTTCATAATTAGTAAAACAATGTGGTCTTTTCTAATATGAACAAGAAAAGTTCCTTCAGACCATTTTCAGCTATAAAACTTAGAATTATCATTCAAAACCCTGCTTGTCTCTAGGATCTACGAATATCTGAGCTTCCGAAAGCTTGGATAGCAGATTAGAACCAATGTGAAATCTGGCCTGAGTACCTTATTTTGAATGTTCTATCCAATGGGGAATTTAAAAGTTCCAAAAACATTGTGCGTCGAGGTTTTTGAGGGTTTTCTGGAAAACCTTTCCAAGATCCCAACCGATTCAATAAAAACTAACTTCACCTTCGTGTTCAGCACATCAAATAACCTTTGTACACAGTTATTCGGCAATCCAAATATTTCTAATACGTCGAATCAGGACATACAAATCTATAACTAGCCCTATACATAATATAACTAAATTGAAAAGAATGAAGACGTTAAAAGATTATCTATTCAATGTTTCGAGAAGGTTTAAAATGTTTGAAGTAGGTTATTTGACGTGCTGAACACGATGGTGGAGTTAGATTTTATTGAATCGATTGGGATCTTGGAAAGGTTTTCCAGAAAATCTTCAAAAACCTCGACGCACAATTTTTTGGAACTTTTAAATTCACCATTGGATAGAGCATCCAAAATTAAGTATTCAGGCTCGATTTCACATTGGTCCCAATTTGCTATCAAAACATTTGGAAACCTCAATCTCTAAGGAAATGAGAGAAAAGCAGATTTTTGACCAGTATTTCTAAGTTTTGTAGTCGATGATGCTCTGAAGGATTTTTTATAGTTCATATTCGATAAGATCATGTTGTTTTAGCTATAATGGATGTTTTTTCATCTGGTTACAATAAAAAATGAAGAAGATGCAGAGCCAAAAACTGGGGTATAGAGCCATACGAGCGACTTAAAAACAGCTGGGTTTTTATTTAACGAAAAGCTCTGAGCACTTAATACATTGATATTCATAACCAGCATACTTAATTCTACCAATAAATATGTATTTCATCAGAATCAAAAATAAAAAGTTTTCCAGAGATCCTTGTGGGGGACCACAGGTCCCAAAAACCTTTTGGTGAGCTATACAAAAAAAGACCTGTAGAATATCATCAGGAGCCATGTCTTACTTCAAATCGATAAAAAGAAATTAAGTTCGTTGGGGGCAAAAAAATGACCTTATCCACCCCTCGTCCTTTATGTCAAATGAAAGCTCGTCAAAAATAGGGTTTATTGATACTAAATAGTGAGGATTATAAAAACTTTTTAATGTCAAACTTAAGAAATTTTATACTTTTTT